CCTTGCCTAAACACTGGACCTGGCTTTGGAAAATGTTAGAGGTTTAAACAGAGGTTTCTCTGTGGTTTGATGCTGACAGAAAAGCACTTGCCGGGTGTTGATTTATGAACAATAAAATATCCACACAACGAGCTTAGCTATCTGATATGCCATACAGCCGCCAGAGCAGTCTGACACAGAATCAATCAGAGAACACGTGGATGGCTTGAGGACTCTCTGTGCACTGGAAAGGCGAGTAAGTGAGCTAAGGTGTGAATAGTGGAGTCAGTGAGCGAGCACTTGTTGTCCCTCCTCGGGTACAGCACATTTCCACCAGCGCAACCCAACAACTTCTGTTCAAAGACCCCGAGAGCTCTTCCACTGCACTTGGATGGGCAATAAATAGCCACAGGTTCCCTGAGTGTGGAGCTGCTATCTAATCTAAGCTTAATTTAACACTGCCGCAAAACAAGTTATCCGACAAAGTACTTGGCGATAGAAAACAACCTCCGACACTCCCTCTCTCTCTCTCTCAGCTCAACGAGTAAGTGAAAGAGTGTGTGGCCTGGAGGGTCAGGTCTGCACCCAGAGGAGAGGGCGAGGCGTGGAGCAGCCAGAGAGGGTGTGAAGTGGGGTGGACGAGTGTGTCTCCTTGTCATCCATCTAGAGGGGGGAGCAGTGGCTTCTCCAGCCTGTCTGCAGCTCACCACACTAAAATAACCCAACACCCACCAGAGTGAGGCTGTTGCCCAGCGGGTGTGAGGATTGGACACACTTCATGGGCAGAGGAGCCCACCGCCAGACTGATAGATTGGAGTGTAAGAGCACACTACAGGACAGTGGACTGAGGGGGGTTTACATGCCAAGCAAGGTAAGAACTGAAATTATTTCACATAGAATACATGAACACATTTAATGTAAATCATTATGTGTGTTTGCTTGCAAAAGTGTTTGTGGGCAAAAAGGTTCAGAGCAACCTACTAAGTACATTAAAGGGATAGATACCTAATGACAAAATGACATATTGGTTTCCTTACCCTGTAAGCAGTCTATGGATAAGGGATGACAGCAATCGATGCTTTGGTTTTGTTTACCTGGCTACTGTTTCAAATGCTAACTTTTTAGCATTTGTGGCAAAATTCCAATGCTAGTCAATGGTACCTACATTATTTTAGCATTTTTGGCTTCATGTCCAAATCATCCTAAATTATCTACAAATGTATTGTGTAACTCAATTAAGTTACTTATAGATGATTTGGACATGAAGTGTGAAAATGTTAATATTTCAAGTATTTTACCCTGTTGAGACGTGCCTTTCGTTCCTGGGGTTGAGTTGTATTCTAAGCCCATTGACTTGCTCTGCTCACTTCGGATTCATTTTCCAGATCAAAAGCCAAAGGCAAACAAATGTGGTCTCCATGATAAGGGGACCACAGTGGCCCGTAAATCAGTTAATAAATACCACAACTTCCTAATAAAAAGCCAACAAGAATCTATAAACTGTTTTCACTGGCCCTCACAACCCACTGGGCACACTTGTTGAATCAACGTTGTTTCCACTTAATTTCAATGAAATTACCTTTAACCAACGTGGAATAGACATTAAATTGACGTTTGTGGCCAGTGGGAACGCATTCTCTGGAACCAGACTAGAACGGGCAACACGGCTTAGTGTAGTGTGTGTGTAGCCTACACATGCGTGTGTCTGTTTGGGTGTTTGTAAGTTGCGCTGGCGAGAGAAAGAGTTTGTATTTATGAGAAAATACGTTGTCTACAGCATACGTGAGGTAACGACAATTCCGGTTCTCACAGCTCTTGTGTTAGCCCACTTGCTTTTGATTTAACGTCCTTCAATAAACACCAATGTAGACATGCTGGGCACATCGACAGAAATCCAGTATCAGTGACACTCATCTGCCGAGGCTTCATTATGTTATTTTCTGGCTGCAACACTGCAGGACTCGACTCCAGATCCCTTGTCCTCCTTATCTCTCTGCCTCCTGTCCTCTACAGATGCTTCTTAGTGATTTGTAGGAGCTGGCAGAACCCAATGTAGGGTGTATCTAACACACTTATTGGCAACATCAGGCCTGAAAGGATTCTCAGGTTCGGTCATTGACTACCTGCAAGTCAGACTCCAAGTCATTGACTGTAGGCCATTACTATAACAGCTTTATGAAAATGAAGCCGCTGAAAGCTAAATAACTCATCATGCACCATATGCCCTGTGATGAGGCAATATGCTAAAGACCCTTGTAGAGATTCTCCAGAATAGCCAATCTCTTTCCTCTGTTGCCATAGCAGCCATTGACCCCTGTGGAGATCAACCAGTGTTCTGGTGGGGTTAGTAACTGGATTATTTGCTTCCAGGGCACATAGCATGTGAGAGGCCTTCAAGGTACTCCTGTTCTGGTAAAAGAAGGATGAGCCACATTGCACAAACAATAAAAGACAGATATTCAGTTTATGCAAGAAGCCTTTTCCTCTTTCAGATGCTGTGTTTTCCCTCCAAATCCACAAATAAAGAAAAAAACTGTGGCAGCTAATGAATACTAGACAGAGTTTTGGCAAGGTAGATTGATCATTAATTCTAAAGGCAGGAGAAGGAGCCATAGTGCAGTGACTCATACTATAAAACTGGCTGGCTAGAGTTACCTTTCACAACAGCCCTGTATGCGTAACAGGGAAGGTCTATGCAGTTAGATAAGACAAAGGAAAGGAAAACTCTTCAAGGGTGGCATTTTTTTCCCTTTGAGCCAATGCATGTTCTGCTTTGGATAGGAAATTGGCACTTGGGCCGATGGGAGTGGTGCCGGAGTATGTCATAAAGTATGTAACTCCATAAACATTGATTTGTATTTTGTATTTTTTCACTCTACTGTTGCTTTTGTAATGCCTAGAAGATTTCGAGGCCTGACAAATTGCTTTCCCTGTTTCTGAGCTTAACTACATGTGTTACTAGAGCACTCCTTGAGTGGAAAAGCTCTGGGCAGATAGTAAAACTTTCTAGGAAACCAGAAAGATCATGAATTAATGAAGAACGTGTAGGAAAAGATATTAAATAAAGTCAAGTACATAACAGGATGATAGCATGTATAGGAGGTCTAGGTCCGTTTTCCCACTGGTGTGCTATCACCTTAGTCTGAATAATAACAATGGGAATTCCAAGACAACTATGGGAAAAGCACACATACAGTATTTGCTCAACTCAGGCCAAAACACTGGAAACTTTAAACCCTTGATGATGTGAACGTTCTTACTTCTCTCAGTGATATATTTTGTCCCTGATATTTGTGTAAAACAATGTGATTGCAGTCAGAATCAAAGCAGGAAATGGCACAAAAATTGGACACATACATAATGCAAATGTTTTCCTATGGATCCTCAGCTGATTAAGAATGGTAATTTGACCATAACTAAACTAACAAATGACAACAAACACATTCCCTTTTGTAACCTCTCTCTTTGTAGTGTTTAATGCATACTTGTGTTAATTTAGCAATTTTCTAAATTGCAGTCATTGACATCAAATGTGGCAATTTAGAATCAAGGGGGTTTGGCAGGCTTAGTAAAAAGACTAAAGGAAGCCATATATGAATAAAAGACTAACAGAAGCCATATACTCTCTGAAAGCAGGAAAGTGAATGCTATTATTTTGTTGCTGGTGTTTCATGTGGAGCAGATGCATCATAATCATGGTGTCTGAAAAGAGTCACACAAATGTAGACATCAAATTGCCTGGTCAGATGGGTAGAATAATTGGCATGCCATTATCCCAACATAAACACAACACAACACATGCAGGCAGATAGGCAGGCAGCAGAAAGTAATAATAATAACATGCCATTTAGCAGACGCTTTTATCCAAAGCGACTTACAGTCATGTGTGCATTCATTTTTACGTATGGGTGGTCCCGGGGATTGAACCCACTACCCTGGCATTACAAGCGCCATGCTCTACCAATTGAGCTACAGAGGACCACAATAGCACAGTGGAGTGCGCTTCTCCATTCATCAGAATTTGGAGGGATATTATTTGTACACAGAGAGGGTGCCAGGCAGGCACACACCAGGACAGCTCTAAGGCTGTTTGGGTTGAGTGAAGTGGACGGAAGTCCTTGATGTGTTTCAGGAGCTAGTTGGGCTCCAGGAGTCAAATTCCTGTTTTACAGCAGATGTGCAAACTGCATACCCAAGGTGACTGGCAAAGCTTTATAATATGGTTTATTTCATGGCCAGATGCTAGTTTATACAGGTTTTCAGGGCTTCTTACAAGTGAAATGGGACTATAGCCAATTTTAAAAACAAGCGCCTGTAACCATTGTGTACTAAAAACAATGGTTTGCCACATTTAGCTGGATAAAGACATGTTCTTGCACAATATGCAGTAAAAATACACAACAGCCACTGTCAATTGTCACACATCTAAAATGCACACACACACACACACACACACACACACACACACACACACACACACACACACACACACACACACACACACCACTGTGTCTGCAGGAGGCAGTCAACCAGGCATGTGGATGCCTGTTTTCTAAGGCACACAGCCGTGATATTGTGGAGATAATCCCCTGAAAAATGATCCCTTTCTTACTATCGCCTGCAGTGGAACGTGTGGGCACAGCAGCCCTCCAACCTCAGGAGCCTGATCTGTCGCTACAGCAACAGCCGTCCACTGACTAGCTCCACATTTCCAGGAGGCAAGCGCACACAAGGGGGCTTGATTTGATATACATCTCAAATATGTTTCTCGGCTCTAGGGAGAGAAACAGTGCCAGAAATTGATCACACAATCACTTTGTGAGTCCAGTGTGGAATAGAAAGAAAGTTGATTGGCAGAAGTGATGGCTGTCTAATGGAGATAAACACAAACGGTGCCTGTCTCTTTAAGAGCTGGTCCTTGGCAGGTCTGTGTTGTTAAGTGGGGAGGTGGATCCTTGCCTGTCTTTAATCTGCTTCTTGTTTCTCTGACAGGCTTTTTGATCAACAATCCCCTCCATAATGTCTGCCTGCTCCTGAACGTGTCTATGTAGCTCTATTACGTGTTTTTAATTGTTTGTGAGAGCATGTGTTCTTAATCACTCTACCTGAGGACTCTAATTCAGCGGTGAGGTGACCACCTTCAGCTCAGGTGTGTAACATACATACAGTGTGTGTGTGTGTGTGTGTGTGTGTGTGTGTGTGTGTGTGTGTGTGTCAAAATGATTGTAGGAGATTGTAACTTTCTCTAGACAATATCTTGCATTGTTTTGCAAATGAACCAGAATCGGGATTGCTGATTAGGGTTGTGGCATACAGTACATGAAAATGTGTGTAGGCATCTTGGTGAGTTATCTAACTATCTGGATGGTGCTTTTATTTTTCTGCAAAATTGTGGCCTGTAATTTGCATACATCTTGATATCTTCTTGTTCTACTTAAAACGGAATAAGTAAGACCGTAATTACTGAATGAAACAAAACCAAGTACGTCTTCATTTTGATTCGATGCTATTTGTCAGCAGTGCAAAAATCTAAAGTGTGGGTTTGATTGAATTTTACACAAAGTGGTGGAGCAATCAATGACTGTTAGCATTTGGAAAGTCAACCTCTATGGTCTTGTTATCGTTCAATTGACCATGTACTCAATCTTTTCAATCAACAATGATCATTGTTGGATTACAGTCAGTATTCTGAATCCTGTGTTTTCTGTTCTTCCTCTATGTTTTCTCCTTGGCAGTCCATTAGCGTTTCAGTGACATGAGGACATGCTTCCAAATAGCACCTCCAACAAAGTGTTCATTCTGAGACAAAATCCCACAGGAACAATTATTGAAAAATGATGTTCAAATAGTTTCTGGAGGAAATTGCAATGCTGTTTCTCAACGGAAAAACGTGTGAATGCTGGCAGGCTTGTGAAAGAAAGAAAACGACGGTGCCAATAATATCACAGGAGACCCTAAACTCACACTGTGGCTATTTCCTACAGATACACCATAGAGACAATCAGTCATTTACAGTTGTGATAGAGCAACATTTAGCTAAGGAGACTATTGCAGTGAGAACAGGAGCGGGGTGAAGTACAGGTCAAAGTGTTTATGATTCCTGTGAGCTGAAATATAATTTGATTCAGCAGTTGAGCACAAAACACTTATGTTATAACCAAAGGAGAAAGGGGACAGAAGGTAGGTCTTATTAATGAAGAGAGCTGCACTCAAGTCTCTATTTAAAGCAGGTATCAGAGTGCATCTTGTGGATGGTCTATTGAAGTCAGACCTGAATCTGATTGATGAAGAGCCAGGGCCAGGATGAGACATGCTGCCTGCTGTTAGTATGTGTCATCTGCTCTAGCTGTTATACACTCAGATCTCGCTGCCATTTTCTGTCAACAAACTGACATAAGGCACATGGAAAATGTATCTTCAGAAAGGAGAACAGGTGAGAAATGGAAGGATCTCAATGTCATAATGTAGATTTTGTGTCAGAAAGGCCAGTACATGTTACATTTGGCGTAGTTGGTCAGGTTTTTGTGAGCGTGGGAAACAAATCCATACAATGAATTTGTTGGGGTTGTATAACATTCTTGTCAACACAGACAGCGTAGCTGATAATTGACATGGAATCCAGAGCGTCAAGGACAATGGACTGTGGCTATTAAATGTGGCATGGGGAGAAAACCCTCCTTATATGGAATTAAAACTCCTCTCGGGTTTCCCGTTCAAAGCAGGGCCCATGTTGGCTCTCATTAGCAGTTCACAGAGCTCCATTAGGCTGTAGCAGGAACAGAGAAGGGCCCAGTTGGTGCCCACAGCCACATTCACAACGGAATCTCAGAATGACAATTGGGAGATTACTGTGAAGGATATGAAAACTCCAGCCAAGGGTAAGGCTGAAAAGTATAGCTCCCGGCCCCTCGCTCTTAGTTTGCTCCATTCCAGGAAGAGCTGGAAAGGTCAACTTGCCACTGCATAGAAAAGTGAGGACAGCGCCTTCATCTGGATAAGACATTTAGATGGACCTGGATAGGGTTGAGTCGGCCGACTACCAAGTGGATATCAAAAATGTAAGTTCAAGTGCTGTGTGGCGGCAATGCAAATGTGATATACCTGAGTCACTGCATACTCTAGCCATCTAAATGGTTTAGCAGACCACTGTAAGTAAAGAGACCACGCTCACATGTCACATAGGTAACTAAAAGCAACACGATACAAACACAGTTGGAGGAGCAGGTTTATGCAGTAAGCTTAGATGCAGTATCACTGCACTGATCTCAAGAAGACATAATGGTCAGTTATTATTCTAACAGAAGTTAGGTGTCAGTGTGTATGATGGCCCTGAGAGAGAGAGGTGGCACTGGAGTGGTGGGTTTTGCTGTAAATGTCCAGTATTAAAGATTCACACAACAGTGTAAATTATTGCGTGAGTGTCTGTTGCCTGTTGAGCAGATCAGGTTTCTCTCAGTTTGATCTTTGGGGGAGTTGGAGGAGTATTTTTGCGTTACTGACTAACTCCTGACTAAAAGCACACTTCATTTTGGTAGACTGAGTAAGCAAAGCCCCACTTCTGAGTTCTGGAACTACTGAGACATAGAGCTGAGTAACGTGGGGAAAGAGATCTAGGCTGATACAAGGTTTTGTTGGCATCAACAGTTGTAGGTGTCTCTCTCCAGGACCAACACTTGTCCTGGAATGCCATCATGTCCGGCTGATTTATAACTGGGACACCTGGTTAAGTGTCCTTTATCAAAACGATGACAGCAGAATAAGAGTTATGAGCCAAGATGTAATGACCCTGCAGGCCTCCATGGTGGAATTTCTCACTCCTGTTCTGTAACCTTTGGAGACCCCTTTGTGGCCATAATCACGTTTGCCTTATGGTAGAGATTTATGTCATGCCAAAGATAGATGTCCCTACATTCGAGTGTATCGGCACAAGGTAACCCCCTACAGCCTAAAGAGGAATCTTCTGTGCTCGGTTTCAGATCCCGTTTGCACCATGCCTCTGAGAGACTCAGTCACCCTGCTGCTCTGGAGTTGCTGTGTACTACTGCTCATCCACCAATGTGAGACTCAAGGTAAGGCATTTGCTGCATGTCAATGGGTGCCTTCAAATAGTCAATGGCTCAAGGCTAGCCAGTAGCCACCCACTACAGAAGTACATGTATACCGGTGTGTACTTATTATAGTACATATATGTACTACTAGACAGAGAGCCCTGGCAACTGATACTGTATGCTGGGTAACTATCGGATTGAAGCCAAAGGAGCAATACAATTTATGCTTGTTGATAAAAGTAAACAAAACTCTGTTACAAACATACATCAGAAGTAGTTTGATAAATAATTATTAAATAAAAAATTTAAATCGAAAGAAGCAACTTAAAGGAGCACACTTTATAATAAAACAAATAATAATATTTATATGTGCAATAACGAATGTTTAGATCCGACTCAATAAAACAATGTTTAAAGCATAAAGTACAAAGATTCTTAACTGCATCTTAATTTAAACTTTGAACATTGCTGGCTGTGTGTGAAGAATCATGTGCATGGAACGGCGGGGACTGTTTAGTTTATCAGGATCCCCGTTAGCTAGTGCAGCAGCTACTCTTCCTGGGGTCCACATAAAACATACAAATACATTACAAAGTACAGAACAGTAATAGACAAGAACAACATAAGATTTGACGTAAAATGTTTTTAAAAAAAAGTTATATATAGGAAAGACACCAAGAGACAACAAATATACTATTTAAACACTATTCATATACAGTGAATTCGGAAAGTATTCAGACCCCTTGACATTTTCCACATTTTGTTAGGTTACAGCGTTATTCAAAAATTAATTAAATTGTTTTTTTCCCTCATCAATCTACACACAATACCCTATAATGACAAAGCAAAAACAGGTTTTTAGAAATGTTAGCTAATTTATAAAAATACAAAAACAGAAATATCACATTTACATAAGTATTCAGACCCTTTACTCAGTACTTTGCTGAAGCATCTTTGGCAGTGATTACAGCCTCGGGTTTTCTTGGGTATGACGCTACAAGCTTGGCACACCTGTATTTGGGGGGTTTCTCCCATTCTTCTCTGCAGATCCTCTCAAGCTCTGTCAGGTTGGATGGGGAGCGTTGCTGCACAGCTATTTTGAGGTCTCTCCAGAGATGTTCAAGTCCGGGCTCTGGCTGGGCCACTCAAGGGCATTCAGAGACTTGTCCCGATGCCACTCCTGCGTTTTCTTGGCTGTGTGCTTAGGGTCGTTGTCCTGTTGGAAGGTGAACCTTCGCCCCAGTCTGAGGTCCTGAGCACTCTGGAGCAGGTTTTCATCAAGGATCTCTCTGTACTTTGCTCCGTTCATCTTTCCCTCGATCCTGACTAGTCTCCCAGTCCCTGCCGCTGAAAAACATCCCAACAGCATGATGCTGCCCCCACCATGCTTCACCGTAGGGATGGTGCCAGGTTTCCTCCAGACGTGACGCTTGGCATTAAGGCCAAAGAGTTTAATCTTGGTTTCATCAGACCAGAGAATCTTGTTTCTCATGGTCTGAGAATCTTTAGGTGCCATTTTGCAAACTCCAAGCGGGCTGTCATGTGCCTTTTACTGAGGAGTGGCTTCCATCTGGCCACTCTACCATAAAGGCCTGATTGGTGGAGTGCTGCAGATATGGTTGTCCTTCTGGAAGGTTCTCCCATCTCCACAGAGGAACTCTGGAGCTCTGTCAGAATGACCATCGGGTTCTTGGTCACCTCCCTGACCAAGGCCCTTCTCCCCCGATTGCTCAGTTTGGCCGGGCGGCCAGCTCTAGGAAGAGTCTTGGTGGTTCCAAACTCCTTCCATTTAAGAATGATGGAGGCCACTGTGTTCTTGGGGACCTTCAATGCTGCAGAAATGTTTTGGTACCCTTCCCGAGATCTGTCCTCGACACAATCCTGTCTCTGAGCTCTACGGCCAATTCCTTCGACCTCATAGCTTGGTTTTTGCTCTGACATGCACTGTCAACTGTGGGACCTTATATAGACAGGTGTGTGCCTTTCCAAATCATGTCCAATCAATTGAATTTACCACAGGTGGACTCCAATCAAGTTGTAGAAACATCTCAAGGATGATCAATGGAAACAGGATTTACCTGAGCTCAATTTCGAGTCTCATAACAAAGGATCTGAATAATTATGTAAATAAGGTATTTCAGTTTTTTTTTTTTATTGCAAAAATTTATAAAAACCTGTAGGCTTTGTTTATTTATTATTATGGGGTATTGTGTGTAGATTGCTGAGGATTTTATTTAATCCATTTTAGAATAAGGCTGTAACGTAACAAAATGTGTAAAAAGTCAAGGGGTCTGAATACTTTCCGAAGGCACTGTGTCTGATTGGGACACACACACCCACATATATTTTTTATGTATTGTTTGTATTATTTTTTGTTGTTGTATTGTTTGTATATTGTTGTGTTTTGAATTTGTATGACTTTCCTTGTCTATCTGTGTTTGTTACTAAATAAACAAATAGAAATGTTGAATCAGTCATAATCTGCCCTCGGTATGGAGTGTAATATCACAAGCAGAGACGTTTTTCACTCCTTCTCCCTCCCTTGTGAACTCAACTGTGAAATTCCTGTCTGGTTACAGAATGTGATTAATTTTTGCATGGCCCCTTGGGGTGAGAAGGGGAGCCTTGATGTGGTATGAGGCATTGTGTCAAGAGGTGTGTGACACGTGTCAGAGGACAGATGTCTGACCCCAGAGTGGGCAGCAGTCAAGCCCTCTGTGTGACAGCAGTAGCCACTAGCCAGGGGGTTTGATTTAAGGATAAAGGGTCGTACAGTATTTCCCGACCCTGTCTGCGTCTTTAGGCCCTTCCAGGAGCCTCGGAGCCAGGGGACAGCGGCTGATGATCCCTGCTCAGCCATCTTGCCTAAATATTTTTCTAGCGCCGCAAGCAGCTGAGTGGATACAGAGATTGAATTATCCTTAATTTCTCAGGGATCTGGTTACGACTCCCTCAGCTCCTTCAGACACTGGTGGCCCCTCGCACGTCCCTCCTCACCTCCCTTTCCTCTTCAATCTGAACTTAGGGCACACACACGTGCACACACTCCTTGGAGCGTGGGCTGGTGGCAGGCACACGGCCTGTCTGGGGATCAAAATGGAGGAAACCCAAACCTGTGCTGCGTGTATGACTGGCACCAGAGCTCTGACCGAGGCGCGAGCAGGGGAGGATGGGAGGGGGGATAAAGTTTCATGGCCAGGGTTAAATTTAGATCCCCCTGGTTTTAACACGGAGAGACTCGTGTGAAGTACCCCCCCAGAGTAGCACCGGGGAGCTTGCAGGCCCTGAGGGCCAGCCTAGGGAAGAAAACAGCACCTGTCCCCCCATGATTAGATGGCAAATTAGAAGCTCTTAAATAATACTGCTCCAAACAAAGGACATTGTGTTTAACAGTTGGTGGTCCAGTCATTATTTCCGTGATTATCATGGTGATACATAAGCTGGTGACAAGACCCTGGTCCAAGGCCTGGATACATACGATATCACCAACCAGCATTCTATGAATGACAAGTTGACAACTTACAGTATATTGTATATAATGTTACACAGTTGTCATTGTTTATATTTTGACAATGTTTATACTGTACTGAATCTTTTGTTATCTTTGTCAATAATCAAGCAGCTGGGGACTTTGTCCAGATTAGTTCAGGACTTTTTATCCTGATTCCCAGTCTTCCAGGATGCAGTCTGTTGCCTTCATGGTTCCAGTCTTAGCAGAGCTGGGGGGAACTTATTACAAACATACAGAGCCCACCACAGAGACAGGGAATGGGGCTGACCAGACAGGCTTCCCTGGCAAACAGTGGCTGGGGCTGGGTCACTCTGGCTTGCTGCAGGGCCAGCAGAAGGAATGAGAGGCAGGCGGCTGTCGATGCCAGGAGGCTGACTTGTCTCATCAGTCTATCCACACTCTGCAGTGATCAGACGGCTGTCTGTTTGTGCACCCTGGCCTGCTCATTCCCTCCCTATGGACATGTGCATGATGTGTGCCTTTGATGCATGCCCATCCTGCATACTCCTCCTCTCTGTCCCTCTCACTCTCTTCTCACTCATTGTGATGCTCACTGTGGCCCAACTCTTCCATCCCCTTAAATTCTCAATCTGTCTTTCCTCCTGCCAGATATAACACAGTTCACAAAGCGCTTCAAGAGGCTTTGAAGTTTACTCTAATAAAAGGGAAATAAAAGGGCCTCCATGTAGCTTTAACACTAGGGAGGATGAGAAATCAGAGAGCTCTCTGCTCTTCAGCAAATAACAGAAAAATGCTCCCATTCAAACCTGAAGCACTGGCAGCATGGGGTAAATGGCATCTGAAGGATTGTTGATGGTGTATACTGACATCCTCCATGCTATTTCAGGACACTGTACAGGCCAGGCAAATGGCTGGATCAGGGATCAATTCAACTTGAATTGCTTTGCTTTGCGTACACAGTAGCATTTAAACCAATTTATTTCCTATGGTCATATAAAATTGCTAAATGTTCCTAGATATACATGCATATGTACAGGCAGGTTTAATTAAATTCAGCCCCAAGTCATATAAGGTGACACATCTCTTAATGCTTGTTGTTAAATTGAATGAAACATGCTTTTAAAAGAGCACAGTTTCATTTTTGCATGCCAAAAACATAAATAAGGTCTCTGAAAACATAACAGCTTACTGCAGTATTCCCATTGTCAGTGAGAATACTTGTTTTAATAGCTTCCCTGTTTAGAATACATTAGCAAATATTGGGCTTTCCCAGCTGTCCGCGTTTAAGAGATTACGGTTACTGTTGTTGTTTTTCTGAACTGCTTCACCATTCTCAGATAACAGTTACTACTTCTCAGCTGTTCCCGTGATGGCGACGGGAAAGCCAAGAATTTCATTGTTCAAGGTCCGCTATGTTCCCACGGACACAGGGCTTTTTGCAGCCCACTGTCGTGTTGTTCATGGAAAATGCCTGCAATTCCACATCAAGCCAATGAGTGTCTGCATTGTATGCATACGCAACTGCAGGATAACTCAATTGTCTTATGGTACAGATTATAATTGCCAAAGCTACACTATTCTAAATGTTGAGATGTGAAGACGCAACAAAAGTATGAAATATAGTCTGATTAGCTGAGAAACTAAAGCTAACAGCACAGGCTGTACGAGAAAATGTCCTACTGTATATTAAAGACATAATTTGTAGAAGTTACTGCTTGGGAAGAAATAGAATATAGTCTGTAAGAACACTGCTCTAAAAATCCCTCCAAGTCCACCTCTCTATAGTGAGAGGGTTAGGATTTGTACTGTACTACAGTGTGGAAGGCGAGACAAGGAGTGTTTGTGAATTCCAGTGGGGTTTGGGCAGAGTTTGTGCGGGCGGAGACATGACTGTACAGCATTCCTCTCCTCCCACCGCACACGCTCCCCTCGTGCTGCTTACTGCTACCACACGCACCCCCTACAACCTACCTGGCAACCCCCCATTATTTACTAAAGCCAAGTACAGACAGTACATAGGTATGCCTAAGGCCAGCCAAATCCACTAGTAATAACTGAGGACAATAACAGATTAATCACATATCCCTTTAGTAGTAGTTCAAATGCTTGCCAGTTTACAGGGATGTTTAATAACTCAGCAATGCAGCTGTAGTTACCTTTCTGAAACCAATAGCATATAATTAATAGTCAGATACATTCAGATACAATCATATGAAACCCCAAGTGAAATCAAACTTTGTGAGTCATGTGGGCTTCATCTAACCTAGTCCCCACTCCACAGATATCTGGCTGGTGGACGAGACTGGCTTTGACTAACATTTCTTCACTATTGTTTCATCATAACAAATGAGTCGCCCTATAAGGCAGATCCTCAGATGCCTGTCTGTCTGTCTGAGCAGCAGCTCAAAGTTCCCCAGCAGTTGCACTGAGGAGTCATCTCACAGGCTCCGTGGAAGACAAGCTCTTGTAAATAAACACCACACACGGATGACCGACTGCCTAGGGTTAGAGGTAGTAGTACCATTAGCATCCCATTGAGCCCTGAAATCCCTCATGTAGCACTCAAACAGTGGTCATTCAGATACACTTATTCTGACTTTACAATTATCGAACCACCAGTGTATTTTTCAGCAACTGTTGTGTTAGAAATGGTTGTGGTAGAAAATGTATGCACACACGACTGTAAATCGCTTTGGATAAAAGCGCCTGCTAAACGGCATATATTATATTAGGAATAAACTCCCTGAATTCAACTGAGTTTTATAGAGCATAAAATGTATTTATTATCAGCTGCTGCTGGAGGAATAGAGTTGTGGAGTACATGCTTACAAACAGCAGAAATATCACAGATACGGCAAATGAATCTGTTTCATGGATAATAGCCGTATCTAATCAATGACAAGTATTAAGTCTGAACGTCAGGGAATTTCTGGTACATCTGGGATCTTTCTCTGAAATGAGAGTTTCCTTTCTCTTACAGCTCTAAACTGCACGTGTAATGTGACCAATAGTCGGTGTGATGAAAATGCAGTGTGCAGGTAAGGAGAAACTTGATGGAAGATGCATCCATCTTTAACATGTCTAAGATATGATATATTTGAATGTGTTGACTATGTCAAGCATATATGACAAACCTATAAAGCCATCATCCAGGCCCACGATATTCTGGTGTCAAGTATGTCCTTGTCACTCTTTAGAGCTAGTCACACTCACAAAATGTATGGAGTGTTTCTACAAAAGGACATTCTATGAATGTTCATATGTATTTGCCTCACAGATACTCTACAGAGCAGGGCATTGCAAAGGTTATTTTGTTAAGTATGGGCGCCCTCCTGTGTCCATTGCGGAGGGTAAGAGTGGCCATGCAATTTTTTAATATGCCACTGTATATAACTGTATATCAGTGGAGGCTGCTGAGGGGAGGACGGCTCATAATAATGGCTGGAATGGAGCAAATGGAATGGCATCAAACCATGTGTTTAATGTATTTGATACCATTCCACTGATTCCGCTCCAGCCATTACCACGAGTCCATCCTCCCAATTAAGGTGCCACCAACCTCATGTGCTGTACATCTCCCTCATGAGGCTGTGTTGGCTATAGAGATGAGAGCTGATCTAACTGGCTGTGCTGTATTGCAGGTGTGACCCGGGTTGGGAGGGGCAGCAGTGCGACGTATGTGTGAGAATGCCAGGCTGTGTCCATGGATCATGTCATCAACCCTGGCAATGCACCTGCGAGCCTGGATGGACGGGACGCTTCTGCAACAAAGGTGACAGAAAATATTTGTATGTATCAGCCCATCATAATTGTATTTGTTCAGTGAGTGGTAGCGCAGTACTTATTCACCGCTTCTCTCCTTTGCTTCAGATATCCATGTGTGTACAAATGAGGCACCTTGTCAGAACGGTGCCACTTGTTATGCCAACGTTTCAGGGGAGTACTCCTGCCTCTGCCCTGAGGGATTTCACGGGAGGAACTGTGAGCACAAGACAGGGCCCTGTCATAAGACCGGCAGGTGAGTTCAATTAGCAACACACTCGAAAACAAACTATGGAACAAGTTTGTCTCAGGCCTACTGCTTCTGCCTTAATCAAAACAAATCACAAATTCAACTCCAACCAGTGACTCAACATAAAGGATTGAGTGGTCATTTTAGGCTTTCAAACGGGAAACTAGCTACAGTATTAGTGTGTGTAAATGACAATAAATCAGTTGTTCTCTCAGAGCCTGTTCGATGTCTGTGTTTCAGTGTGTGTGTGTGTGTTTTGACTGTGTGGTGTCCCAGCTGGTCCCCTGATGGCAGTCAAACACATGCAGACTGGCGCGGGCCACGTAGCAGCCTGGTCAATTTGTATCCACTGGAGAGCAATCATGTGATTTAATGGGCTCATTATCGGCCAAGTGAGTGGCCTCTAGTGCTAACAGACACACTGAAGCCAGGCATCTACACTACAGCCCCCATGGAGTTCCCAAATCACTAGCTAAACGGTTACCAGGGAAACCATGCAGGCCAAGGCACAGGCTCTGGGTTAGATTAGTCTTAAAGTGCCAAATCAATGCCTGATTGAATGTAATCAGTGATCATCACAGAGTAAGCGCCACACATTTACTTACAAATCAGTTGGCTGTCCAGGCCCATATGAACAGGCTTGGGTTAAGTAATCAATTCAGCATTGAACATCTATTCAGTTATTATGAACATTTCCCTCAGGGTTTTTAGTGCTTATGTTGTCTTTATCTTTCAGGTCTCCATGTAAGAATGGCGGGCAGTGTGAGGACAGTGGCGGCTATGCCCCAGAGCTCTCCTGCCGCTGCCTGGCAGGCTTCACCGGGCCGCGTTGTGAGAACAACATGGACGACTGCCTGATGCGCCCCTGTGCCAACGGTGCCACCTGCCTGGATGGCATCAACCGCTTCTCCTGCCTCTGTCCCGAGGGCTTCACGGGCCGATTCTGCACCATCAACCTGGACGACTGTGCCAGCCAGCCCTGCTTCAATGGAGGGCGCTGCCTGGACCGCGCCAGCACCTTCCACTGCCTCTGCAAGCCTGGATTCACTGGCAGGACCTGCGAGGTGCCCTTACAGAGCCCAGAGAGCCAAGCGCCCATCAGAAGCTCCCATGGCTGGGCTGGGGGAGGTGGGGGCTGGGGAAGGGTGACTCAGGCCAGGCCAGACAAGGACACCACGAGGGGGAACTCTCAGGGCAACAGTAACAATAGTAGTGGAGACAGGCTGCTGAAGATCTCTGTGAAGGAGGTGGTGACCCAGCGGGGGTCATCTGGCCTGTCAGAGGTGCAGCTCAACACCCTGCTGGTGCTGGGGGGCATGACGCTGGCCGTGGTGGCGCTCACAGCTGGCCTGGTGCTGAAGGGGCATTGGCAGGACCGCTGTGCAAGCTGCCGGTGCGGCCCCACCCCCCGCCTGCACCCGCTGAGACACAGAGACTGCCAGCCACCCCCGCAGAGCCACCTAGTCACCGTGGAGCAGGAGTGTAAGATCAGCTTCATGCACACGCCCACGGCCCCAGAACTGGAGAAGAAGAAACTGAACACTGAGGTGATTTAGGCTAGGTTTACTACCTCCACAGCCCTGAGTACAGGACAGGAGCAGACAACAGACTGCTCTCAGCAGAAGGAAAGCCATGCTTTCATCCCAGCCCTGCCTCCATGACTGATTTTCTTCAGTACTGACAGTCAAAATACAGACAACATACCGATCTAGGAATCGATACCTAGAGAGACTCAGGACCAAGAAGGGACCAGTGTGTCTGTTCAAGGGTAGATGTTAGGAGAATGTGTTTCACACTCCTAGCAAAAGGAGCATTGTCCTAATATGACGGATTATTGCTTGACCATAATGAGAAATATACTCAAGTCCCATGGTTACTTGTCACGGACAACCAATGTGTAATTTGTCCGTCCTCAATATCAGCTGATGCGGTTTCTTGGCACGAACTGCATGTAAGACAGGCCTACTGACAAACAGCTTTGGAATGCAAGCCGAGACAATGCCCTTGTTATGTCAACCTAATTGGTGTACTGGTATTTGTCACTGCTGTTCTCGTCACGATATTAGGCCAAAATGTTAGACATGAATGAATCTGCCCATTTATTTCCAAATGGGCTCTGACCTCTCAGCCTCGGAACAAATTCCCTGCGTACAGCTCTGCAGTGACCAGAATTCAGACATCCAGACAAATTATTCATGTTATTCATGTTGTTTTAACAATGTACTTTTTATACCACAGACTAAAAGAACTGCAACACCGCAACACCTACTTCATTTAAGTAACTGTCCAGTCTTTTCAGATGTCTATGAAATATGACCTATAATTAATTACAATATGAGTAAAATAGTTCCTTCCAAAGAAAGTGTAATTAAGTATGTATTCTGTGTTGGAATGGTGTGGGCGTGCCCCATAGAGTTCGATAGAGGCATGGGCATTGCCATTGAGTGCTTTCAACATTTTAAGGTAGTCAACTGGGTGGGACTTCCTATGGGTTAAGGAAGGATCACATGATTCCATCCAGGTCATCAGGAGGGATCAGCCAATGAATTATACTTGTGAGAAAACACTAGATGACAGCATGTACCTTTTCAGTTTGTTTGTCAACTCATAGAAGTAGTAGAAGAAGAAACTGGACTACTTCAAAATAAAAAGATTGCCTCAACGGAGCTGCATGTGCGCTCACAGGCACCATAATGGGACATACACTGAGTGAACAAAACATTAGGAACACCTGGTCTTTCCATGACGTAGACTGATCAGGTGAAAGCTGGATCAGTGTAGATGAAGGGGAGGAGACAGGTTAAAGAATAATTTTTAAGCCTTGAGACAATTGAGACATGGATTGTGTATGTGTGCCATTCAGAGGGTGAATGGGCAAGACAAAAGATTTAAGTGTCTTTGAACGGGGTATGGTAGTAGGTGCCAGGTGCACCGGTTTGAGTGTGTCAAGAACTGCAACGCTGCTGGGGTTTTCACACTCAACAGTCTCCCGTGTGTATCAAGAATGGTCCACCACCCAAAGGACATCCAGCCAACTTGACATAACTGAGGGAAGCACTGGAGTCAGCATGGAACAGCATCCCTGTGGAATGCTTTTGACACCTTGTTGAGTCCATGCCCCCGACGAATTGAGGCTTTTCTGAGGGCAAAAGGGGGTGCAACTCAATATTAGGAAGGTGTTCCTAATGTTTTGTACACTCAGTGTATATCTATCACTGTGGAGTATCCCAACAACAGAATGATGTGGGCATATACCGGCATATATCGGAAGCTCATCCTTCTCCGGAGGATGATATCATCCTCTATGAGGAAATAGCAAGCATTTTCGAAATGTTCTGTTTGAGATACACGTTTGAGGTGGGGACTTGAAGTGTTTTTTTCCAATGTATGCTTTGGCCACATATGAGTATAGGATGAGTCAACAACATTATTTGGGTATTAGTTAACAGAATATGAACTTTTAAAAGTGAGATTTTCTCTGGACAGTTACTTCAAATTATAATTGTATTATTTTGTATAAAGTAATGTTCTGTCAACACTGAAAAATAATTTGTGATCTGTTTACTTCTGTATGGTGGTTAATAGCGAATAACTATATGGATTTGCTTAACAGTATTTTGAAGCTGTACATTTTATTTATTTTCTGTAATTTATTTGTGGAATGTGGTCTTTTTGCAAAGAGTCTTATTTTTTATACTGAATTGTCTGCAATAAAGTTGTGAACTGTTTCCTGTACAAAGTGCCGTAATGACTGTCAAAATGCTTCCACTTCAGTGTAGATAGAGTCAGGATACAGATAACAGGTACAGAAGATCTAAGAACACATACCTACCTGTCAGTGGAAGCTGGTGGCAGGAGCTATAGGAGGACGGGCTCATTGTAATGGCTGGAATGGAATTAATGGAACGGAGTCAAATATGTGCTTTCCATATGCTTGATGTGTTTTAAACCGTTCCATTTATTCCATTCCAGCCATTACAATGAGCCCGTCCTCCTATAGCTCTTCCCACCAGCCTCCACTGCTGCCTGTCTTTATCCCTAAATTACATGACCACAGCGTGACAGGTTAATTCAATCAAGCAATTGAAAACAACACATTGTTCATCCATTTACTTATGATACTGTCCCTTTCTTTGCTACAAAAAAAAGCATTCTGAATGTCTATTTTCCAGGAGACAACCACCAATGGTTCAGACTTAGCGCTTTATACCATCACTGGTATAGACCTGCACTTTTTTCTAGCAAGCAATTGTTTCTACATAATTTGAGACTTACCCTTTTAACTTCCCTGAGTCTCTGTGCTCCTATCCCACCATCAACATTTCATCAGCTCCCAAGCCCTTGAATTTGCCAAATAATACCCGGTGGGGGTGAAATGTGACCTGACCCCACCCTGACATAATATCCAGCAGAGGAAGTTATGGAGACCCCAAGAATAACATGAAACTAGAGTCCTCACTTCCTGTGGGAAAGAGCTCCAGACAGTTTCCCTCTTCAGGTTCACCACACAGGAGAGTGATAGAGCTACTCTGTAACATGCATTTCATCACAACACAAGTTACCGTAAGATAGCATTGTTGGAATCAATGTTAGAACACACCAAAATCACTGTCATTTTACTAATTGAAAAGTCAGGCCCTGGACCATACACACAATAAGATAACATGATAATCCCTAAAATAGCAGCCAGCACAAGGAAATGTAGTTGTCTGTAATCTCATTGAGGTTTACACTGACCTTTGGCCAGTTATTCAGTGCCTAATCACTGCCGATGAGAATTTGTTCCTGAAGCAGATGGTTTGCTCTGGGAGCCTAATGGTGTGCCTCCAACTGGGTACAGCATCATCATAACTGTGCCTGGAAACTGGTACTGATGTGAAACAAATGGGAACTGTTTACGTGTATGATGGTCCATAAACAGTCATGCATTCAGATCCCATAAAATATGAGCCAGTGAGCCTGAAGAAACCCATCCGGTTGTTTTAGGAGAGAGGTGCAACATCCCTCTTTGGTTGATATTAGTCATCTATGCCCTGTTATTGGCAGAAATGAAAATGACTGTCCTAACTTTGTAATGAACACAGTTATGATACTCAATACTGCCAGAGACGGGCCTAGTGTGAACCAATAACTATTTACTATTTCTTTCTCTAAGGCTGACTGGTTCCTTTTCCCTGGTCACCTGTCACAGTTCAGTGGTAAAAAAGGACTTGGAGAGGATTATGATATGGTTTCAGAGGTGATGGAAGTGCCGAGTGCCAACAACTGGGCCTGTGTGGGCAACAACGCTTGTGCCACAATGGCAGCTGCCTCTTTAGGGATAGCAAAAATGTAAACCTGTGTAGACTGGTTTCCACAGCTCTGCCGCCTGTTAAGTGGTGCCAAGTCAAGCTGGCACCACTCCACTAGTCCATCTATCCTTATAGGCATACAGCGCTCTAAGGTATTAGTCTACATAGAACCCAAGATTTACAGTGGGGGAAAAAAGTATTTAGTCAGCCACCAATTGTGCAAGTTCTCCCACTTAAAAAGATGAGAGAGGCCTGTAATTTTCATCATAGGTACACGTCAACTATGACAGACAAATTGAGAAAAGAAAATCCAGAAAATCACATTGTAGGATTTTTAATGAATTTATTTGCAAATTATGGTGGAAAATAAGTATTTGGTCACCTACAAACAAGCAAGATTTCTGGCTCTCACAGACCTGTAACTTCTTCTTTAAGAGGCTCCTCTGTCCTCCACTCGTTACCTGTATTAATGGCACCTGTTTGAACTTGTTATCAGTATAAAAGACACCTGTCCACAACCTCAAACAGTCACACTCCAAACTCCACTATGGCCAAGACCAAAGAGCTGTCAAAGGACACCAGAAACAAAATTGTAGACCTGCACCAGGCTGGGAAGACTGAATCTGCAATAGGTAAGCAGCTTGGTTTGAAGAAATCAACTGTGGGAGCAATTATTAGGAAATGGAAGACATACAAGACCACTGATAATCTCCCTCGATCTGGGGCTCCACGCAAGATCTCACCCCGTGGGGTCAAAATGATCATAAGAACGGTGAGCAAAAATCCCAGAACCACACGGGGGGACCTAGTGAATGACCTGCAGAGAGCTGGGACCAAAGTAACAAAGCCTACCATCAGTAACACACTACGCCGCCAGGGACTCAAATCCTGCAGTGCGAGACGTGTCCCCCTGCTTAAGCCAGTACATGTCCAGGCCCGTCTGAAGTTTGCTAGAGTGCATTTGGATGATCCAGAAGAGGATTGGGAGAATGTCATATGGTCAGATGAAACCAAAATATAACTTTTTGGTAAAAACTCAACTCGTCGTGTTTGGAGGACAAAGAATGCTGAGTTGCATCCAAAGAACACCATACCTACTGTGAAGCATGGGGGTGGAAACATCATGCTTTGGGGCTGTTTTTCTGCAAAGGGACCAGGACGACTGATCCGTGTAAAGGAAAGAATGAATGGGGCCATGTATCGTGAGATTTTGAGTGAAAACCTCCTTCCATCAGCAAGGGCATTGAAGATGAAACGTGGCTGGGTCTTTCAGCATGACAATGATCCCAAACACACCGCCCGGGCAACGAAGGAGAGGCTTCGTAAGAAGCATTTCAAGGTCCTGGAGTGGCCTAGCCAGTCTCCAGATCTCAACCCCATAGAAAATCTTTGGAGGGAGTTGAAAGTCTGTGTTGCCCAGCGACAGCCCCAAAACATCACTGCTCTAGAGGAGATCTGCATGGAGGAATGGGCCAAAATACCAGCAACAGTGTGTGAAAACCTTGTGAAGACTTACAGAAAACGTTTGACCTGTGTCATTGGCAACAAAGGGTATATAACAAAGTATTGAGAAACTTTTGTTATTGACCAAATACTTATTTTCCACCATAATTTGCAAATAAATAAATAAATAAAAATCTCATTTTGTCTGTCATAGTTGACGTGTACCTATGATGAAAATTACAGGCCTCTCTCATCTTTTTAAGTGGGAGAACTTGCACAATTGGTGGCTGACTAAATACTTTTTTCCCCCACTGTATACTGTATGAGAGAAAGTGTTATGATTGACTTAGCTCATTCACCTGCTCTGGTACTAAGAGCACACGTTCTTGTTGCATCAGTGAGAAATATCTCACTAGCTCAATGTGTCAACCATCTGTCAATTTTAGGATATCATTCATTTTTATTTGAAAAGAGCCCTACTTGGTGTTTAACCTCTTAAGGATCTAACCCTTTTTTTCAATTTTCGCATAAAATGACATACCCAAATCTAACTGCCTGTAGCTCAGGACCTGAAGCAAGGATATGCATATTCTTGATACCATTTGAAAGGAAACACTTTGAATTTTGTGGAAATGTGAAATTAATGTAGGAGAATATAACACATTAGATCTGGTAAAAGGTAATACAAACAAAAAAACATGCATTTTCTATTATTATTTTTGTTCAATCATCTTTGAAATGCAAGAGAAAGGCCACAATATAATATTGCAGTTTAAGCGCAATTTAGATTTTGGTCACTAGATGACAGCAGTGTGTGTGCAAAGTTTCAGATTGATCCAGCGAAGCATTGCAATACTGGACTATTTTGTATCAAGTCTGCCCAAATGTGCCGAATTGGTCAATTGATACATTTTCAAGTACATAACTATAGAGAACATACAAAAATGATATGGTAATACAAAATGTAAGTTTACACACTCCCAGGAATGTCATACATGATGGATCATTAGCTTATACACTAACTTTCACACATCTAGATGGCCGGCGGGGTGGGTGTGGAGCCAGAGACAGCAGGTGTTCAAACTGTAGAACCCAGTTCCTACATTTCAATATAAAAATTGATTTTATCAAACAAAACTATGCTACATTTTATCTCTGGGACCCTTAGGATGACAAATCAGAGCAAGATTACTGAATGTAAGTACATTATTTACCTTCAGAGATGAATGTATCAAACCAGTTGTCGTGATAAGTTTTGTTGTTGTGCACTTGCCTCAAACAATAGCATGGTATTTTTTCACTGTAAAAGCTACTGTCAATTGGACAGTGCAGTTAGATTAACAAGAATTTAAGCTTTCTGCCCATATAAGACATTTTGCTGTTACTTACAACAGTCATGCTAATCACATTAGCGCACATTAGCTCAACCGTCCCGTATATGGGACACCGATCCCGTAGAGGTTAAAGGGAGCCAGTGACACCCAGTGGACAGAGGTACCTGCATCTACTGATTACCTCATGAAGAAAAGTACAATGAGCAAGATAGCGCATGCACCATGGATGTGACCTTATGATTTAGCTTTAAAAGTCTTCAACAAACTGATATGAAATCAGTAAAAAGACAAGAAATGTGTATGTAGAAAATGTATTAAAAACACGTCATATCTATAAAATCTTTACAATTGTTTTTATTCATAACCATTTTTGACAAACATAGGTCCTTAATTGAGAAACTCGTAGATCAGCAAAGCGGGAATCATAACCATATATCTTCTTATACTTTTGAAGGCACCTTAGATGTACAGACTTTGACGAGTCCGTTGAAGTATTCTTCCAGGATGCCCTCCACCTCCTCCTCTTTGTAATCTTGCACCTGGAAAAGGGACCCATCAACTGCCCCTCTGATCATGGCAGACAGTGCTGGACATGGGTAGAGAAGCCATATCATACAAGGTCAGTAGGTTAAAAAGACTGGAATATAGTATGAAAAATGTATGCACTCACTAACTGTAAGTCGCTCTGGATAAGAGTGTCTGCTAAATGACAAATGTAAATGTAAATGTAATCAAATCAACATCAAGTTGTGACTGTCTAAAATGTGTGATTGTTTAAATGTTTACAGCTTGCTGTGATATTTATTATAGAATTCAATTACACGGGCCTCCCGAGTGGCGCAGCGGTCTAAGGCGTCACTATAGACCCGGGTTCGATCCCAGGCTGTGTCGCAGCCGGCCGCGACCGGGAGACCCATGAGGCGGCGCACAATTGGCCCAGCGTCGTCCAGGTTAGGGGAGGGTTTGGCCAGCCGGGATGTCCTTGTCCCATCGAGCTCCAGCGACTCCTTGTGGCGGGCGCATGCACGCTGACTTCGGTCGCCAGCTGAACGGTGTTTCCTCCGACACATTGGTGCGGCTGGCTTCCAGGTTAAGCGAGCGGTGTGTCAAGAAGAAGTGCAGCTTGGCGGGGTTGTGTTTCGGAGGACGCATGGCTCTCACCCTTCCGTACGGGAGTTGCAGCGATGGGACAAGACTCTAACTACCAATTGGATATCACGAAAAAGGGGTAAAAAAAAGTTTTATTATGATAATTATTATTATGATAATTTTTCTCAAAGTCAAACTGTAATCTTACATTTTCCAGAGGAGGGCCGGAAAAGACAGAGGATCTTCTTGTGCATGTCCATTGCCCTTCCCAGCTCATATCCAACTCCAAGAGAGGGCTGTGTCACTTCAGCTATTATCACTGACATAAGAGAAGAGTAATGTTTAGCTTGAAACAATGTGTAGTAGCAAACACTATTAACTTGTCTTGCAACATGGGTATAGATTAGTAACTTTCAGCAATGGGTAACTTTTTAGCAAGAACAAGAGCTAATATGTAAGTACTGTAGGAGTAGCACTATACACTTGCAACTGAATGATAGAGCCAAACTTTGCTATTCTGAAATAAATACTATTCTTTCAATTAATACTGACAGAGTAGATGCACATATAATAAACAAGACAACAGACATTGAAATATTTTCATCCTAGGCAAACTCGTCCCAACTCTTCCTCACCATCAGACATCTCAAGCCATTCCATATCTCGGTCATGGATAAACTTTTCTCCATCCTGCACAGCATCCTCGCCTAGGACAGTCAATGTGCAAGGTTCAAGCAAATGTTGACAAGTTCATGACCACCACAGCACACATTCTAGTCACAATGCAAGAAATGAGTTTTTAAAAACTTAACAGTCCAGCAAACGACAAGCAAGTTGAGATCAGACTGGTAGCCAACTGTACAAATTCTTACAGGGAAATAAAGAACAGATCTGTCAGACACTGTACTGTCTGTGCTAAAGAATGTGGCTCACCTTTTTCTGACAGATCACAGTGACTCACGTGCTCCGTCAGAACTTCTCCATATTTCTGTAGTTTCTGCACAATTTTCTGATAAATAACCACATCCTGTCTTCCTCCACGAATACTGCCACAGAAGTAAATATGCATAGCTTTCTTTTAGCTAGCTAACTAATAGGCGTCTGAAAACGTTTTGATTAAGGCGAGTGAAATGATGCCTCAAAAATCCAGTGTCCACTAGATAACATAGCCACAAAGTCAACCAAATTTATATCGTAAAAATTAGTTTTTTTTGTTGTTGCTTTTTTGTCTTAATTTGAGGTTAGGGCACAAGGTTAGCAATGTGGTTACGGTTTGGGTTACAGTCAGGGTTCGTTTTAAAATCCCATTTTAAGAAGATACATTATAGTAATGGGCGGGGTTTATAACTTTGTGGCTATGGTAACTAGTGACGACCCGAAGTGTGTGATTTGCTGCAGTAAGCGCATGCATCGTGTCCTCTCGCCTTTTGGCGCCAGCATGTATATGCCACGTGATGACGTCAAATCCGCCTTGATTTCCGTTTCCTTGACATACAGAAACGTCGACAGTAGCTTGGTGGGCCAAAACATTTAGAAAAATATATTTAACTTTCAAGGTTAGTGAAATTAGATGTTATTATTACACACACAGATGTATATATTCAAAGGGTTTATAATACTATCAACTCATGCATGGGGTGTGTCCCTCATCGGGCAGTCGGTATCGACATCCTTTGCTAGCTAGTCGGTTAGCTAAATTGCTAACGTTAGCTATCTAAGTGACGTAAAAAAGCTATCGTCGTTTGCTTGCAGGCTAGCTTAAAACGGTCTTATTTTGCTGTTAGAGAACAGCAGGTAGATGGAGATAGACTAATCTAAACTATATATAAGTATGTGTCCATGTTCGTGCATTATTCGATTCGAGTCAATATAGCTAGCTAACGTTACCTCGCTAGAAAATCATAACATTTTATTCGTCACATTCTAAGTAAACAACACAGGTGTATACTAACAGTGTGAAATGCTTAACGTTACTTACGGGCCAAATCAACAATGCAGAGAGAAAGAAAATAGAGAAGTAATAACGAAAATAATAAATACACAATGAGTAACGATAACTTTGTTTTTTTGTACCGACAACTTGGCTATATACACGGGGTACCAGAACCGAGTCGATGTGCCGTGTTACGAGGTAATAGTTAGATATGTACATATAACTAGGAATAAAGTGACCTGGCAACAGTATAGATAAACAGTAGCAGCAGCGTATGTGACGAGTAAAAGGGTCAATGCAGATAGTTAAATAGTTAACCAAACAGCTACTCGGACTAACTATGGCTTGGGGATAGAAACCGTTCAGGGTCCTGTTGGTTCCAGACTTGGTGCATCGGTACCGCCGTGTGGTAGCAGAGAGAACAGTCTATGACTTGGGTGTTACAAACTTTAATACAAGCCAAACGTCCCTAGTTCCATAATGAACATCCATTGCAAAATTATAAGCCACAGGCAGACCGCAAGCACTGTATATCACTGCTGTGTTGAAATGCCATTTCAACCCCTCAATAACACACTCTCCCCCAGCCAGGGCTTGTGCCTGAGTCCGGCGTCTGTGAATGGAAGTGGAGATAGCGTTCGAGATGGGTCCTGAGAGAATCTTACCAAACTCTGAGGAGGAGCTGGGTCAGGAGCGGCCGTCGGATGGTGGAGTGGGCGGGGAGTGGAGTGGAGAGGACATGGAGGAGGACGAGGGCGGTGTGGGAGATGAGGAGGAGGATGATGGAGGTTACTATTACCAACCACTAAACCAGGACCCTGATGGACTAAATGCTGCACCCGGGGACCAGCCTGAGGATATGCCCCCAGTAGCAGAGCAACTGCAAGAAGTCCAGGAGAGAATAGAGGTATCTAACCCTATATTCTGAATATGATCTGTGCAGTATTTCATTCAGTGTCATGTGTTTATCATTTGGACAAAAGTCTGTAAAATGTCAGTTGTCATATTGCTTGTCGAGACATTGATAAAACGTATTTGATTTCTCCACAGTCAATGGGCTTACATCTTCCCCAGCCCCCTCCCTCAGACAGTGATGAGGAGGAGCCAGAAGGCGCCGCTGCCCAGCGCAGCGCAGCCTCCATCCCCATGGATGAAGGTGAGGATCCAGCCTTGCTTAGTTCATCCACAGTACCCGAACATACGGGGGATACTCATACAGCCTTAGGACTGACCATAACTATTACTACTCCTTTATGGTGTTGCTCAGAATGACTTAGGATCATTAAGTCTCCATGTAATGCTCACTCTCAATGTAATACTTTGTACTGATGTCCACTCCTCTCCTAAAGACCACGTGGAGCTGGTGAAGAGGACCATGGCAGCAGTGGCCCTGCCCTCTCTGGCTATCCCGACCTGGGCTCAGGAGATCTCTGACGACCAGTGGAAGGATATGGTCCAGCAGACGCTCCAGACTCGCCAAAGCTCAGAAGGCCTGATGCTAGAGCGCAAATAAGACTGAATTGCCTCCTTCTCACAGTCTGTCTTTAACTGTGCCATGCATTTCACCATCACACTTACCCCAGGGGAGTCTGAGCTAAGGTCCTCTGAGCGGGTCATGAGTCCTAGGTGTCTCAATTCTTAAGATTTGAGAGAAATTGTGAAAACCCATCTGTCCAATTCCTATTAGATTAGGATATCTCTCCTGAATATGTGTTTGAAAGGAGCCTCTGGGTACTCACTACTTCTAACCTAGAGGGCGGCAGGTAGCCTAGCAGTTAAGAGCGTTGGGCCAGTAACTGAAATGTCGCTGGTTCGAACCCCCGAGCCAACTAGGTGAAAAATCTGTCAATGTGCTCTTGAGCAAGGCACTTAACCCTAATTGCTCCTGTAAGTCGCCCTGGATAAGAGCGTCTGCAAAATGACTAAAATGTAAACATTTAACCTGGTGTTTGTCATTTGTAAAGTTTAATGTGAACGAGGTCATGCAAACTCTTACTGCTTCTGCTCTGGAAGGAAGAACTTGAATCAGTGTATTGGAGTTTTATGTATAATGAGGCTAAATTGTAATGACAGGTAAAGCCAATTGGCCTTGAGAACAGAAATACCCCACCCTAAGCTTTCTGAAACGTTCCAGTGTACAGTCAAACCACCTTTTCCAACACCAGATCGCCTTTGTTTTGTGTTTTTAATGTGATTGTTATTTTTGGGTGGTGATTACCATATTGCAATACTATTTAGTCAGTCTTTGTTGAGCATAATATATCTACATGTATATGGGCATCCAAAAGAAATGAACAATGAAAATGTCCCTGTCTCGTAACATGAAATCTGCAGAGGTTCATCAGCTAGTTCAGTGTTAATTTCCTGGGGACCCAAAGGGGTGCACATTTTAGTTTTTGCCCTGGCTCTAGACACCTGATTCCACTTATCAAACGTTTCTGATTAATGGAATCAGGTGTGTAGTGCACCCCTTTGGGTCCCCAGGACCCTAGAAACACTAAGCTACTGTAGTTCAATTGATGATGGATATTGACTTGTGTGTGAGGGCAACATATTTCCAAACTCAATGGATGTCAAACATGTCCACTTTATTTTTTGACTTTCTTTTCTGTACATACATGATCTGTACAAAATATGATTTTCATACTATGTAATGCTCTAACTAATTAAAGTACAACATATGTACATATGACCTGGAAAGCAGTTTAAGATTAGTGTCAGAACTGGACAGAGGGGAGGCATGAGACCCTTTGTTTCAAAATGTCCTCTTCAGTTTGTGTGGCTGCTGGACAAACTAAGCACAGTTCCATGTCATCACTCGACACCCAGCAATGGCATGTAGTGTACAGTAACAATGCTACCTCTTAGCGAGTCTGGAATGTCTCAACAGCTACCTTTTGGAAGCATGGTCAATAGGAATGCATGTGCCTTGTTCAGTCAGGTAAGAGAACAGTAACATTCATTCTATTAGGAATAACTCATTTTGAATTATATAGCGACATATAATATACTGTGTTTAAATAGATTCATATAAATGTCTCATGCACAGGTAACATTTTCAAACCTCACCAGAAAAATACAATTTAGAGCATGGATTTTAGGAACAGACAAGATTTGGCAAATCCCATCTGAGCCGATTAGATTTGTTCCACCCAGGGTTAGTGTAGAGGTAATCGCTACTGTGATAACTGAGCACAGTACTTTCTCAAGATAAGTATTTTTACGTGTAAGGATACACGGATTTACATTTAAAGAAATTCTGATTATATAATAAACAGCTCCAGATAGTTTGGATTAAGACTACTCTGACATTATTGCTGTAACGTCATGTTCGGGGAGGAAACATTGGCAGCCAACCTTTCACTAAGCATGGGTGAGATGACGAGTCACTTTGCCCAGCAGCCATAGAAGGAGTTATTCCCCACGGTTGGAGTGATTTACAGAAAGCTCAATCAATAGATGAGACTTTACAAAGAAATTATGACATCGTACAGCAAGTGGAAAGAAACAAAAGAGGGATGAGTAAGGGGGGTGCAACCCTAAGCAATATACGTTACAATATACCGTAACACAAATATTTGCAACAGTAACCGCAGGCTTTCCTTTTCCCCACATAATTATTGTGCCTGATTAGCGGAGCAAGTATATTTTTTTCCATCTGTAGATAGTACTTTAAGGAGGATTGTTTTGCGCACTTCCATACACAATTCTACACAATTGAAGTGCATGAGTTTTTTTCTTAAACCAAAAAAATATTGCTTAGGTGCTTGAAAGAAACAATAGAACGCAATCTAGGCCAGAGACCTATTGAATCAAGCCGGTTTGGAGGAAGAGAAAAGGGAATAGGATATTTTGTAGAGATTCCCTACACTTGAACTGAAATAACCCTTACCTTTCTGCAATGAGGCCGACTCAACAGAGGAGCATTTTCAAGAAACATACACTGAATAAAAATGCAACGTGTAAAGTGTTGGTCCCATGTTTCATGAGCTGAAATAAAAGACCCCAGAAATGTTTCATTAACACAAAAAGCTTATTTACCTCAAATTTTGTCCACAAATTTGTTTACATCTCTGTTAGTGAGCATTTCTCCTTTGCCAATATAATATATCCACCTGACAGGTGTGGCATATCAAGAAGCTGATTAAACTGCAAGACCATTACGCAGGTTCACCTTGTGCTGGGGACAATAAAAGGGCACTCTAAAATGTGCAGTTTTGTCACACAACAATGCCACATATGTCTCAAGTTTTAAGGTAGGGTGCAATTGGCGGCATGCTGACAGCAGGAATGTTCACCAGAGCTGTTGCCAGAGAATTTAATGTTCATTTCTCTACCATAAACTGCCTCCAACGTCATTTTAGAGAATTTGGCAGTATGTCCAACCAGCCTCACAACCGCAGACCAAGGGTATGTAGTCGTGTGGGTGAGCGGTTTGCTGATGTCGACGTTGTGAACAGAGTGCCCCATGGTGGCGGTGGGGTTACGGTATGGGCAGGTATAAGCTATGGACAATGAACACAATTGCATTTTATCGATGGCAATTTGAATGCAGAGATACTGTGAATAGATCCTGAGGCCCATTATCGTGCCATTCATCTGCAGCCATCACCTCAAGTTACAGCATGATTATGCACAGCCCCACCCATGTCGCAAGGATTTGTACACAATTCCTGGAAGCTGAAAATGTCCCAGTTCTTCCATGGCCTGCATACTCACCAGACATGTCACCCATTGAGCATGTTTGGGATGCTTTCGATCGAGGTGTACGACAGGGTTTTCCAGTTCCCGCCAATATCGAGCAACTTCGCACAGCCATTGAAGAGGAGTGGGACAACATTCCACAGTCCACAACCAACAGCCTGATCAACTCTATCGGAAGGAGATGTCTCACGCTGCATGACGCAAATGGTGGTCACACCAGATACTGACTGGTTTTCTGATCCACGCCCCTACCTTTTTTAAAGGTATCTGTGACCAACAGATGCATATCTGTATTCCCAGTCATATGAAATCCATAGATTATGGCCTAATGAATTTATTTCAATTGACTGATTTCCTTATATGAACTGTAATTCAGTAAAATCTTTGAAATTGTTGCATTTTGCGTTTATATTTTTGTCCAGTATAAATCCACAAAAAAAGAAAGGCAAGAAGAGGGCTACAGAGGAATAATTAAAGAGGCAGAGGCGACGTTAGCCATTGGGCCAGAAACATTAATAAACACATTAACATGAATTTGACGGAAGGAATGGATGAGTTGGGATAACAATCATGGCAGTCAAGAGTCTGTAGACAGAGCAAGAAGGTTATCTTAAAGAAAACGGAGAAAAGGATGGACTCATTCTGCACCCGCTTATGGTTGCTTTTCCTAAAGACAAACCTCTTGTGGACAATATTACCCTGACATTCTATCTAATGGAATTATTTTTGAAGGTTTCTTTTTGACACAGTGACATGATTCGTTTTTGATCTACACCTCTAATTATAAAAAATACAAGAAACATTTTCAACGGGAGTTCTATTACAACTATTACAAGTTGAGACATTTGTCAACTCATTCTCTTGTATGGACAATTGCTAATATATCATGGTTTTGTATCTTTAAGTGCTTTTCAGTAGACCGGCTAGGAATTAACATATGAAAAGCCATATCAGTTTTGTGAACTACAAAAAGCTGTCAAAAACAGACCAAAACAAAAACACAATCCTACACTTATTAATGTGAGCAGCTGGGTCTGAACTATAGTAAGTGATAGTTTTTTCATTGATTCTGACATAAACCAATCATCAGGGTTACAATCATGTTATTAGCATATGACTAACCAACAGGGAATGTAATTCAACAGACGCTGTAAGGCCATGATTTTAGGATGCAAAGAGGTGATGAAGATACAACTACAGTACTAAAACGTGAGCAAAACAGTGTCATTGAAGAGACTGACATACAGTAAATAATTAAATAAAGATAAAGTCAGCCACCTTGATTCCTAGTGCTCTCTCACTTCATTTAATTGCCTTGCCTAAGTTGTAGTGCTGAGCGATTAGTGCTTTTTGAGGTCGGTTCGGTTATTAACAAATAATCATGGTTTTAGATTTCGGTTTCGATTACTTTTTTAAACATTAAATGCACTGTGCATTATGTGGGTTGTTGTGCTGAGCGATTAACCGACATTTTGTTTTTTTCTCCGGTTATTAAACAACTAATTGACCGACGTCAGTTCAATTACCGTTTTTTTGTGAGCCCAACGTGCGGTTTCTCTAGTGGGAAATCAAATAATTCACGAGAGAAATCAAGTCAAGAACTATGTGGGACGCTGGGATGAAGGGAGTTGTAGTTTTCCTTAAGCAAATATTCAACCTAGTTCATTTCCCGGCTCGGACAGAGACGGATCAGAGAGGAAGAGGCGGAACGAAAGGTTTCACTGTCGCCAAAATCAGTCCAAAATAAGCCCAATGCGATTCTATTGGCTTATTTTGGACCTAAGCTTGTCGCCTGCCTTCCCGCCTTTGGGACAATGACATTGTTAGGGCGGCGACATGAGCATCTCCTCATTATACAGATCTCTGGACAGATACACTTTTACGGATACACCTTTAAGCCTGCTACGTTAGGTTAGATACACAGACATTTACATTACATTTAAGTCATTTAGCAGACGCTCTTATCCAGAGCGACTTACAGGTAGTGAGTGCATACATTATTATTTTTTAAAATATTTTTTCATACTGGCCCCCCGTGGGATTGCAAACGCCATGCTCTACCAACTGAGCTACATCCCTGCCGGCCATTCCCTCCCATACCCTGGACCAATTGTCTCCCAGTCGCGGCCGGCTACGACAGAGCCTGGATTCGAACCAGGATCTCTAGTGGCACATCTAGCACTGCGATGCAGTGCCTTAGACCACTGCGCCACTCGGGAGACGAGACCGCATGAGAGCGACAGAGACAGTTAGTGAAAGTATGTCTTACCTACTTTGAAGAACTAGTTAAAAAAATATTTTGCCAGACAGCATACTTATGCAGGCTAGCTGGATAGGATGACTAAAGACAGTACAGTATGAGGAGCACATAGATAACGTTAGATGGCCTGGCTGGCTGGCTGCTACTGCCTGAGCAGAGATGAGATGATGACTTTAAGGAATGAAAAATAATAAAGTCATCAAATAAAAACGGAAGTATTTTATTATTTCATAGTAATTTCCTATTTTCTATTGATGTCTACCCAATGTGGACTTGACAGAGACAATGGAATATTTTCAATGTTTTGGCAATTGAATGTTTGGAATTTCCATTAAAAAGCTCTAAAATCATTGCAATGTCATTATTTCATAATGCATTTAATGTTTAAAGAAATACTCGAAACTGAAATCGAAAACTGTGATTATTTTTTAATAATCGAACCGAACTGACCTCAAAAAGCACTAATTCTCAGCACTAGTTGTTTGAATGCTATAACACAGAATAAAACAATTAATAAAAGTCCCATGATGGTAATGACTGCCCAGTGCTGCTTATCACTTACTAACCATAATTTATTCACATTACTTTAATAAAATATTTCAGTTGTGTATATTACATTTGTTTTATTTGATTACTTTATTATTTCATTCCAAGTCATCATCTCATCTCTATAGAGCTGCTGCCTATGCTGTCTGACAAAATCACTATTTTAATAGTTCTTCAAAGTAAATAAGGCATACTTTTATGACTGCTGAATACCAAGTAATTCTTCAAAGTAAATAAGGCATACTTTTATGACTGCTGAATACCAACTAGTTCTTCAAAGTAAATAAGGCATACTTTTATGACTGCTGAATACCAACTAACAATTACTTAGATCTTGTATTTTCAGGTACCTCATGAAGCAACTGCTCTCTTTCCCTCTCGATCGTGCATTCTTCTGTATCTTCCATCCCTATCCATGTCCATGTCTGCCCCACACAGACCGGACAAGTAGGCGCGCAATGGATTATGGTCATTGTAGTTAATTACCACATTTTCCGCGCTAAACTATGTAGAATATTGGCCTGTTGGAAACTACAACTCCCTACTATATCGCACAGTTTGGGCTTGATCTGATTTCTCTAGAGAAACTGCGCATTGAGCTCACAAAAAAATTAAATAAATAAAATGGAATTCAAATAATTGAACCAATGTCGGTCAATTAGTTATTAAAAAAACGAAAAACAACCTACATTTCGGATAATAGCTCAGCACTACTAAGTTGTCTTGTAAGCATTGTGTCCCAGATTTGGCTTCCCCAACATTTACTATGTTCCCTGGGCATGACCTGACAGCTAGGGGTTTTTACAGAGCAGAACCACTACTTCCACTAGACTTCCAGCTAGACTAGAGCATGGCCCCATTATCCACCAAACCATACATATAACCCACACCCTCTCTCGCCAGACAAGCTAGCAAGCTCGCAAGAGAATCACTCACAATCTACTGCCCTCTATAGGTAATGCTGGGTTCCGAAAGGAAACAAAGAAACATGCTTCACGGATGTTTACACTTAATACTACTGTTGTGTTATTGTTGTCCTCGTGCAACCTAATGATCGGCCCACTGTAGTCAAGTATGTGTGAGTATTTTTGTGCAAGCTGGAACAATTGTAGGTCTGTATGTTCCTATGTGTGCGCATAGGAGTATGTGTGTTCTTGTCCGTCTCTGTGATGGCCCTGTTTTTTTCTGCAGATGGGGATCTCCGACAGAGATGGAGGAGTGGAGGAGAAGAGGGGGCGTAAAGCAGGTGACTGTTTGGATGCGACATAGAGGGAGGGAGGAGTGCCACTGCTCCCTGGTCAGAGGGCCTCCTCGTTGGCCGTCAGGTACTCCTCCGCTCTCTTGTGCTGCTCCAGGGCTTTTATAGTGTACACGTCCTGCGGCAGCTCCGACTTCCGCCGGATCATCACCTTGTCTTTCTTGATGTCCTTCATCCCCTATAGAACAAAGTGTTCAAGACCATATCCAATACAGTAATGAAATGTCTCGAATGGACAGACGTGGTCTGGTGAATTCAGAAACTGACATGAGTTGGTTGAGGCATACGTTTAAACTTTAAAAACATAGAAAGATGAAAATAATAAATAAAGAAGAAGAAATAAACGTGAAACAGCAACAAAACAGTTTTAGTTTTTTTCTTGATTCATTGATTAGTTGGTAGGTGTTTTTATACTAGGCTGGAAAGACAGCCTGCAGGTGGTACGGGTGGTGTGAGTACATACCTGTGATTCAATAAATGAAGGCCTTGATGATTCATTGATTAGTAGGTGTGTTAGTAAGTGACTAGCCTAGAACAACAGCTTGCAGGTGGGCGTATGTAGGCTAGACAGAGCAGTGTACCTGGGAGCCTGCTGGTAGTTGTACCTGTGTGGCCTCTGTCTCGACAGTCTTCTTCAGCAGCTGAATGTCCTCAGCAGTGGGCGTCTCCGTCTCCATGGAGTACAAGGGCACCCCTCCCGGACTCTCATTGTACATCATGTACTGGAAGATTACAGACAGACACAAATTAGTTGTATCTGGTCTGGATATGGCCTGTGAAATACACCCACGAATGGACCAAGAGCAACATCAGACAGCCCCATTGAATTCAGTAAGAAAAGAGGCAGACCTCTTCTTGTGGGTGGAGACCAGGTCGGAGGTTGGTAACCTGCAGAGAAAGTATAAAAGTTACATCGTGGCTACATTCACTGAAGCACAATTCCTCTTAATTAAAACTTCAGCTATTTGTGCCTGAGCGATTGGAGCTGGGAATCAGTCATGAGAGATGATCAACGGTGATAATTAGATATGTCTGGAACAAAAGGACTTTATAAAGTCTAATTAATTACAGCATGACCCTGTTTAAAACCCAAAGATCCCTGCATACACCTCTTACTGTGCAGATAATTTCACACACATCCATAGCAACATAATTGCTGAGGACTGAGGAGTTTTTATCCCTTTTGGTTGCTTCTGGCGATAATGATATTAAGGAATGTACAGGTAGGTAACTAACAAAATTAATTGCAGTGTCTCATTTCCTGAGCCTACTCCCTGGAATAGCGTGATGTGAATGTTCCATAATGCATGGGGATAGGGTAGTGGTGTTTTTGACATCCTGCAGTAGAGATCACCTGTGGGTTATGCTTGGCCAGCTCCTCTATCTTGTGCCAGACCTCCTCACGCTCCTTCAGCTTGCACTTCTCTCTGAAAACACATCAGCGACATAAACAATGGAGTTGGAGCCAACCAGGAAATCAGCTGGCTTGGCATTTGACTGTGCTTTGAGGGAGATGATCAATAGTTCCAGAAGGGAATAAAGGAAGGTGCTGATTTACTAGAGGACCATGCAGATGTCCTCTCTGAGCATGCCCAGTGAACTCACTTCTGTTTCTCGGCCTTGTACTGCTGGGTGCAGTCATCAAACAGCTTCTGGTTCATCTCCATGAAGAGCTTCAGGGCGTTGTAGATCAGCCCATGGATTGTCCTGAAGAGAGGAAGGGCATTTAACACAATGTAATAAAGTGCCTTGCAAAAGTATTCATCCCCTTTGGCATTTTTCCTATTTTGTTGCATTACAACCTGTAATTGAAATGGATTTCATGTCATATGTAATGGACATACACAAAATAGTCCAAATTGGTGAAAAATAACTTGTTTCAAAAAATTCGGAAAAGTGGTGCGTGCATATGTATTCACCCCCTTTGCTATGAAGCCCCTAAATAAGATCTGGTGCAAACAATTACCTTCAGAAGTCACATAATTAGTTAAATAAAGTCCACCTGTGTGCAATCTAAGTGTCACATGATCGGTCACCTGATCTCAGTATATATACACCTGTTCTGAAAGGCCCCAGAGTCTGCAACACCACTAAGCAAGGGGCACCACCAAGCAAGCGGCACCATGAAGACCAAGGAGCTCTCCAGGGACAAAGTTGTGGAGAAGTACAGATCAGGGTTGGGTTATAAAAAAATATCTTGAAACTTTGAACATCCCACGGAGCACCATTAAATCCATTATAAAAAAAATGGAAAGAATATGGCACCACAACAAACCTGCCAAGAGAGGGCCGCCCACCAAAACTCACAGACCAGGCAAGGAGGGCATTAATCAGAGAGGCAACAAAGAGACCAAAGATAACCATGAAGGAGCTGCAAAGCTCCACAGCGGAGATTGTATCTGTCCATAGGACCACTTTAAGCCGTACACTCCACAGATCTGGGCTTTACGGAAGAGTGGCCAGAAAAAAGCCCTTGCTTGAAGAAAGAAATAAGCAAACACATTTGGTGTTCGCCAAAAGCCATGTGGGAGACTCCCCAAACATTTGGAAGAAGGTACTCTGGTCAGATGAGACTAAATTTGAGCTTTTTGGCCATCAAGGAAAATGCTATGTCTGGTGCAAACCCAACACCTCTCATCACATTTACATTTACGTAATTTAGCAGACGCTCTTATCCAGAGCGACTTACAGGAGCAATTAGGGTTAAGTGCCTTGCTCAAGGGCACATCGACAGATTTTTCACTTAGTCGGCTCGGGGATTAGAACCAGCAACCTTTCGGTTACTGGCACAACGCTCTTAACCACTAAGCTACCTGCCGCCCCAACCATCATGTTTTTCATCAGCAGGGACTGGGAAACTGGTCAGAATTGAAGGAATGATGGATGGCGCTAAATACAGGGAAATTCTTGAAGGTAACTTGTTTCAGTCTTCCAGAGATTTGAGACTGGGACGGAGGTTCACCTTCCAGCAGGACAATGACCCTAAGCATTCTGCTAAAGCAACACGAGTGGTTTAAGGGGAAACATTTAAATGTCTTGGAATGGCCTAGTCAAAGCCCAGACCTCAATCCAATAGAGAATCTGTGGTATGACTTAAAGACTGCTGTACACCAGCAGAACCCTTCCAACTTGAAGGAGCTGGAGCAGTTTTGCCTTGAAGAATGGGCATAAATCCCAATCTCTAGATGTGCCAAGCTTATAGAGACATACCCCAAGAGACTTGCAGCTATAATTGCTGAAAAAGGTGGCTCTACAAAGTATTGACTTTGGGGGGGTGAATACTACCTCCCGAGTGGCGCAGTGGTCTAAGGCACTGCATCGCAGTGCTAGCTGTGCCACTAGAGATCCTGGTTCGAAACCAGGCTCTGTCGTAGCCGGCCGCGACCGGGAGACCCATGGCGCGGCGCACAATTTGTCCAGGGTAGGGGAGGGAATGGCCAGCAGGGATGTACCTCAGTTGGTAGAGCATGGTGTTTGCAACGCCAGGGTTGTGGGTTCGATTCCCACGGGGGGCCAGTATGAAAAATAAAACAATTAAGTGTAAGTCGCTCTGGATAAGCACCCCATTTTTAGGGGGAGAAAAGTATTTCTGCACTATGCAAATAGTATGTTCTTCCATTACAACAATTAATAGATTTTTCTCTCAAATGTGAACCCAGGGTTCTAATTGCCAGGCTTGTTTTGGATGCACGTAAGTTCAGCAGGAGCATTGATATTTTAATTGACTTGGCTGCAGGGGTCGTACTTGTTCCAGTGGCTTTTGGAGTTCTTGTAGAGAGCAGGGAACATGATGGGGAGGATCTTGGCTGCATTGTCGCTGATCAGGCTCATAATGTACTCATTGTTCCAGTAGTACAGCGCCCTCTCTGCCACCTTGAGAGCACAACACAGGAGGCAATCAGAAACAATCCACCCCTTGTCATCTACCAAAGCAGTCTTCTTCTATTGTGGGTATTGTATAGTTCCTGTGCCTGTTCATCACTCTGTTCATTACAGAATATCGCACTCGATTCTAATACGAATTACTTTCAATTGATATGACAAGTTATTTTTCCTTCCCGAAGGCAATTTTATTTTCTGTTATGTTTGGGGCAGTGAAGCAGAATGAGTAAACACAGCAGTGAGTGAGCATGAGGCAGGCGTAGTGTACCTGGAAATGTGGACTGGACACACACTTGGCCAGCTGTCTGAACAGCGGCTCCATGATCTTGACGAACTCAGAGGGCTCAATGACGTCCAGGATCTCCTCAAGCTCGTTGAGGAACATCACCTCTTTGGGGCTGTGGGTCTTAGGCCAGAACTTCAGCAGGCCCATGATCACCTGGGGGTCAAATCATTAACACAAAATTAACATTCAACGCCCACAACAGCAAAAATCCAGCAAAAGAAAAAAATCTGTATGTTTTTGCACCTCCATTTTTTTACCTGAACATTTTCATAATCCATTGGATAATTTGTAGTTTCACTTATATTTTAGCTAGTCTGGATAAAAAGATATATCTGACCATTAATCAATTGTATAATTGCGTGATATGATTGCATTTTGCAACCCCGCTCCCCCGTCGCACCAAGATTAGTGGTTTTGACCACTAAAGTTTTGCTTCACCACACACTGCTTTGATTGGTGCAGCTAGAAACCACAAGTGTCTATCCTATAATGAAAAGGCACCTGCGAAAAAGTATTACTTTTTTATCTATTTTGTTGTGCTGTTGTTACATTTGTATTGGTGTAATGCGATGCGCTCAGGGTGTTGATATCATTTGCGGCGTGCATCGTGAGCAAAGTAATTTTAGCCTATCAAACTCACCGGTTCAGTTAGACTGCTGTCCTTTTCCAAGAACTGCACAACGCAATATGCCAGCTGTGGAGAGATAAAGAGAGAGACACGTGGTATGAGTAGGAGCATATCAGCAGGAGCTTAAATGAGAGGCCCGCCTGACCCTCACGCTGCGTGAGGGGGCTTTCATAGCACTATGATACCTGAGGGTGGTAGACGCTGAGTGACTTCACTTTGTGAAGCGGCAGGAGCACTCGGATCAGGAACATTTTGTGCTCCTCTTTCAATGGCAGGGCAAAGCCATTGATTATGCTGGGGATAAGGGACAAGGGAAGATTTGTTTTAGATGAATGGTAAAAAAAATATTGTAAAAGAGATTGTGTTGAGGGGATAGTACACTGTGCAGTGTGCACTCACCTTCCTAAGATTTCTAAGAGCTCTGCGATTCCATTGTGATGCTCCGTTTCATATATAAACCTGCAGTATGAGACCAGACCAAGGTCAACTATCGATTACATGGCACAGATAACAGATATACTGACAAATCTTCTTACATACATCAATCACAACCTCAACATTTGAAAACCTTGCAGTTTTTCTTTGTTGTGGTTACATATTTATTCTCCCAAGAACAGACAGACTCACTCAATCACACTCTGTGAATAGATTTCAAGGGCGAGAGATGTAGCTGCTTGCAAGACAGACACATAGAAATAGAATAACTAGAACGGGCATCTCCCCAATCAAGTCAGCGTCCTGTGTTAGGTGGACCGGCAGCCACATTGAGTGTACCTGTAATTCTATTTCTATGGACAGACATAACTGGTGTAAAAGCCATATCTCACCTGTAGAATATGTTGTTGATCTGTCTGCGGATGTAGGCCCGGAGGCCCAGGAACTTGCCGTAGATCCTATGGAGGATGGTCTTCAGGAAGTCCCGCTCCCTGGGGTCTTCACTGTCAAACAGCTCCAGGAGCTGTGGGGGGAGGGGGAGGGGGGGCGAGGGGAGGGGAGGGGGGGGCAGGCATAGGTATTCAAGAAACTAACACTATTTAATACAATAGATACAATGGGACACTTGCAATTGTAGAAGCAAAACATTATTCAATCAGGCAAAGGTAGAAAATATACTATTCGTCAGGCAAACACTCCATTCACTGATACACAAACATGTTCCTGAACATGTAGCACACAGTATCAAGTGGTGCGGTGAAAACCAAATTCGATTGCCATGAGATTTGATAGCGGCTGGGTTTTGCCATAACATAATACAAGGCCATGTGTGTTTGGAGCCCAAGCCAGCACTCAGAAAGTGACTAGGCTGACTCAAGTCGTTTAAATATTCATTCCCATCAGCAGTGGATGGGAAGCATCATGTGGTCAGATGGAGCAGAGTGATCCCTGCTAATTCCCTCTCCGCTCTCATGTCATCTCTACTGTGTGGGAGGGAGACGGAAGCTGGCCATGGTATGAGTGAACACACGTACACACACACACACACAGGATAATTCCCAACTGCCTGGGCGCCAGGATATTACACATACTGCCAATTAAATATTTCAACAGCTCAGAAGTTACAGGGAGTGCAGTTTGTGTTTTGTTGGAGGAGGAGAGGGATACTTACAGACAGTACAAACTTTTGGTCAATGTATTTTTTAGCGACGTTAGGCTGGAAATCAGGGGACTCCAGGAATCGTAAGAAGAATTCATACACCAGCTGGAGAGAAGAACAATAGGACATTGAGATAAAAGGTTGGTGTGATTTGAGGCTGAAAGTACCGAAGCTGAAAAAAACAACTCTAGCCTAATTCCTAAATGTAAGTTTAAGAAAACATTAACGCGTACACTCACATGCGCACGCACACACACACATTACCTGTAGGTGTGGCCAGGCAGCCTCTAATGTGGGCTCGTCCTCCTCTGGGTCAAACTCAGCCCCTGTGGGGTTGGAGGATGGTGGTAGGGTCCTGAACAAGTTGATTGAAAACTGAACAGGGCAGAGGAGAGATGTCAATCAACATGGCAACAATCAACAATGCTAAAGCTACCATCCGATTGTAAATGTTAGGAAAACACAGCACAACCCATCTGATAATCTGATACCACACAAAAGGAATGACTTTCATAAGATCAGAGCACAAATCATTTGACAAATAGGTGGTGTTGAGAGAGGACCCCAGTGTTCCCTGGCCTCCTCTGCCTACCACTGAGAAAAGCCCTGGTAAGGGCTGTTTATAAGATAACCCTGCTAACTCTGTTTAAAGACTGTTTAGGTTAGCCCTGCTAACACTGCCACTGGGAGAGCTGCAGTTGACGTAACGCAACGCTTTCCAGCACCTGCTTCTTGTCTCGGTCTGAAACTGCCGCAGCACAGAGCCCCTCTGGCACTGAGGAGAGAGAGAGGCTGGAAATAGCCTGCCTGGCTCCACAGCTCTATCGCCCAACCTCAGCCTCATTACAGAACACTGGGAGAGGGAGAGACAACAGCAGAAAGAGAGGCGGTAGTTGTGAAAGAGTGACATTGATGGACAGCGGGGAAGCGAAAGATATACAGTAGGATGGGGAGAGAGAGAAAGGAGGGGAGAGGGAGAGAGAAAGGGAGAAAGTAGGAGAAAGAGAGGAAGAAGGGGAACGATATACAGAGGGGGAGATCCACATGAGGCCAGTGTTGTTGTGCATGGCCAACAATTCAGAGATGCTCAAAGGAAGAGCAGACGTATGGGCCATAATTTGTGATGGATAATTGCTCAACATTTCCCAGTGCACACTTATTACTCGTTGAGCATGATGCTCACATTTGTCACAAGCGGAGAGGGAGAGAATGCCCCGGGGGGAGGAGAGAGGGAAAGAAGAGGGTGAAATAATACCCCAGGGGGAGGAGAGAGGGAGGGAGTACCTCAGAGGGGAGGAGAGAGGGAGAGTTCGACATGGGGGAGGAGGGACAGAATTCCCCAGGAGGTAGGATAGAGGTGGAAGAGAGAGTCAGATAATACCCCAGGAGGTAGGATAGAGGTGGAAGAGAGAGTCAGATAATACCCCAGGAGGTAGGATAGAGGTGGAAGAGAGAGTCAGATAATAGCCCAGGGGAAAAGAGAGAGGGAGAGACTTAAAGGCTTCCAGGGGGATTTGGCTCGATCTGACTTTTCACCAAAATAAATAATGAACTTTGGGAGCTCCTCAAGGGTTTGATGCTGATTTCCTCCCCCTACTGTGCTGGGTGGAATCCTGAGCGAGGCCAAGCCAAAGTCATTATTGAACACAGAGTCAGGATGTGGCATACTGAGGCGACGGGGGCCTTGATAGCATGTTTAAATCCACAACCTTCCCCTGAACATGTGATTAAATATAGGCCCAAACCTTCCACACTTTGTCAGGATTTATGTACAGTGTGTCCATGTTTGTGTGTATGTGTGTGTCTCTTTTTACCATGATGACACCCTCTGGGTAGATGGACTCGGTGACCACATCGCGGTTGTGCGTGATGTACTCCACCATCTCATTCAGACCGGCACGCTTCACCTCCTTGTACTTCAGGTCGCTCAGAGGATCCATGACAAAGTCAAAGAGCACGCAGCACTGCCGCAGCTTCTGCACAAACAGCTCCTCCCGGTCAATAAGGGGCGCATCTGAGGAGGAGAGAAGAAGGGAAGGCAGGGGGTAAGATCAATGATATGCTGTATGTCTAGATCAGGGCTCTCCAACCCAACACATCTGCTACGCTGACCCTAAACACTGGGGCCCCTCAGGGGTGCGTGCTTAGTCCCCTCCTGTACTCCCTGTTCACCCACGACTGCATGGCCAAGCACGACTCCAACACCATCATTAAGTTTGCTGACGACGCAACAGTGGTAGGCCTGATCACCGACAACAATGAGACAGCCTATAGGGAGGAGGTCAGAGACCTGGCAGTGTGGTGCCAGGACAACAACCTCTCCCTCAATGTGAGCAAGACAAAGGAGCTGATCGTGGACTATAGGAAAAGGAGGGCCGAACAGGCCCCCATTAACATCGATGGGGCTGAAGTGGAGCGGGTCGAGAGTTTCAAGTTCCTTGGTGTCCACATCACCAACAAACTATCATGGTCCAAACACACCAAGACAGTTGTGAAGAGGGCACAACAACACCTTTTTCCCCTCAGGAGACTGAAAAGATTTCGCATGGGTCCCCAGATCCTCAAAAGGTTATACAGCTGCACCATCGAGTATATCCTGAACGGTTGCATCACAGTCTGGTATGACAACTGCTCGGCATCTGACCGTAAGGCGCTACAGAGGGTAGTGCGTATGGCCCAGTACAGGGGCCAAGCTTCCTGACGGCCCAAAAAAGTCATAGACTGTTCTCTCTGCTACCGCACGGCAAACGGTACCGGAGCGCCAAGTCTAGGACCAAAAGGGCTCCTTAACAGCTTCTACCCCCAAGCAATAAGACTGCTGAACAATTAATCGAATGGCCACCCGGACTATTTACATTGACCACCCCCCCCCCCCCCCCTCCCCGCTTTGTTTTTACAGTGCTGCTACTCGCTGTTTTTATCTATGCAGTCACTTTACAAATTACCTCGACTAACCTGTACCCCCGTGCATTGACTCGGTACAGGTACCCATTTTATATAGCCTCATTATTGTTATGTAATTTTCTTGTGTTACTTTTAAAAATATATACATATATACAGTGAGGGAAAAAAGTATTTGATCCCCTGCTGATTTTGTACGTTTGCCCACTGACAAAGACATGATCAGTCTATAATTTTAATGGTAGGTTTATTTGAACAGTGAGAGACAGAATAACAAAAAAAAAATCCAATCTATGTCAAAACTGTTATTAATTGATTTGCATTTTCATGAGGGAAATAAGTATTTGACCCCCTCTCAATCAGCAAGATTTCTGGCTCCCAGGAGTCTTTTATACAGGTAACGAGCTGAGATTAGGAGCACACTCTTAAAGGGAGTGCTCCTAATCTCAGTTTGTTACCTGTATAAAAGACACCTGTCCACAGAAGCAATCAATCAATCAGATTCCTAACTCTCCACCATGGCCAAGACCAAAGAGCTCTCCAAGGATGTCAGGGACAAGATTGTAGACCTACACAAGGCTGGAATGGGCTACAAGACCATCGCCAAGCAGCTTGGTGAGAAGGTGACAACAGTTGGTGCGATTATTCGCAAATGGAAGAAACACAAAAGAACTGTCAATCTCCCTCGGCCTGGGGCTCCATGCAAGATCTCACCTCGTGGAGTTGCAATGATCATGAGAACAGTGAGGAATCAGCCCAGAACTACACGGGAGGATCTTGTCAATGATCTCAAGGCAGCTGGGACCATAGTCACCAAGAAAACAATTGGTAACACACTACGCCGTGAAGGACTGAAATCCTGCAGCGCCCGCAAGGTTCCCCTGCTCAAGAAAGCACATATACAGGCCCGTCTGAAGTTTGCCAATGAACATCTGAATGATTCAGAGGAGAACTGGGTGAAATTGTTGTGGTCAGATGAGACCAAACTCGAGCTCTTTGGCATCAACTCAACTCGCCGTGTTTGGAGGAGGAGGAATGCTGCCTATGACCCCAAGAACACCATCCCCACCATCAAACATGGAGGTGGAAACATTATGCTTTGGGGGTGTTTTTCTGCTAAGGGGACAGGACAACTTCACCGCATCAAAGGGACGATGGACGGGGCCATGTACCGTCAAATCTTGGGTCTCAGCCAGGGCATTGAAAATGGGTAGTGGATGGGTATTCCAGCATGACAATGACCCAAAACACACGGCCAAGGCAACAAAGGAGTGGCTCAAGAAGAAGCACATTAAGGTCCTGGAGTGGCCTAGCCAGTCTCCAGACCTTAATCCCATAGAAAATCTGTGGAGGGAGCTGAAGGTTCGAGTTGCCAAACGTCAGGCTCGAAACCTTAATGACTTGGAGAAGATCTGCAAAGAGGAGTGGGACAAAATCCCTCCTGAGATGTGTGCAAACCTGATGGCCAACTACAAGAAACATCTGACCTCTGTGATTACCAACAAGGGTTTTGCCACCAAGTACTAAATCATGTTTTGCAGAGGGGTCAAATACTTATTTCCCTCATTAAAATGCAAATCAATTTATAACATTTTTGACATGCATTTTTCTGGATTATTTTGTTGTTATTCTGTCTCTCACTGTTCAAATAAACCTACAATTAAAATTATAGACTGATCATTTCTTTGTCAGTGGGCAAACGTATAAAATCAGCAGGGGATCAAATACTTTTTTCCCTTACTGTATATATCTTTTGGTTATTTAGTAAATATTTTCTTAACTCTATTTCTTTAACTGCATTGTTGGTTAAGGGCTTGTAAGTAAGCATTTCACAGTAAGGTCTACACCTGTTGTATTTGGCGCATGTGACAAATACAATTTGATTTGATTTGTTCCTGGAGAGCTACCGTCCTATAGGTTTTCGCTCCAACCCTAATCTAGCTGGTTGATAAACTGAATCAGGTTAGTTCCAACTGGGGTTGGAGCGAAAACCTACAGAGGGTAGCTCTTCAGGAACGGGGTTGGAGAGCCCTGGGCTAGATAGTGATTCATAACTTCAGAGAACATTATACACCTGTTCTGTCATTTTGTCATCCCACCAGTGTCCAAGGCTAACATTGGGGATAAAGTGTGAGACTCATACAGATTCATACACCTCCATTGATACACCACGTTATTTACATTGGCTCAATTGTACCCTTAGAGTTGTGAAACTCTGCTATTCCACACAGCTAGCTACTGTTTTAGTATTCAGACTCCCTTATGCAACTAGGCTTTCATGAAACCACAGCCCCCCTCCTCCTCTTTTCCTGGACAATGAACATCAAGGTCTCCTGTAGTTGTCAGCCCCCTCACGGAACTGAGGAAAATGGCACGACATTGTGCCATGGAGGCATGCAGACTCCACCTCACACACAGGCCTATGGGTGTTTCGGCCCTCCAGAACCGGAATTGAACAGCCCTGATCTAGTGTGTTGTTGCTTGTTGCGTAATGTTAAAGCACACTTGGCGTGAGTGCTTTACTATCATGTCAGCTTAAATTAATAGGATTTACATGAATGACCCATTTCAAAGGGTCAGAACATGTTTGGATGTGAGCTCTATTGTAGTGTGGTTTTGGAGGACATTGATTAAGTTGTGATAAAACAGAATTATTACATTTGCATTGTGGATAAGGACCATGCAATCGAGTGGGTATGAGAGACACTTGAAACAAAGGAGGATTATGGTCAAGGACAGACATGAGGGTTGAGCCGCTTTTCAAAAACACAAGGAACTGAATAAGAGGGAGAGGCTGGAATCTGGGGCACAGATGACAGTCCCAATTAATCTACATTTGAGAAGAGCCTTAGAGAGTGGCACATAGATTGCTCAATTGTACTGGGCAATACAAGTACCAATACATGAGAAAACGGCTTTAAATTGCCAAGACTTGGTATCAGGCTATAACACATGTTCATAAATATAGACAATACCAGTTAATAACAATGGTACCATTATCTATTTTACTATAAAAGTAGGGGGTCTAAGTTGCGAATTGTGTGTCTAGGGGAGGAATGATTCTATAAATGTTTCAAATTAACTGCCAATATGCCAACATTCCATTCAAACAATGCAGTCAATCCACAGCCACACTGGCTGAAATCAGTTTATTTGTATTTGTATTTATTAGGGATCCCCATTAGCAGCTACTCCTCCTGAGGTCCAAACACATTAAGGCACTTACATCACACAAAAAACAAAAGATAAAACAGTACATCATACAACATTATTACACCATAGTGAGGGAAAAAAGTATTTGATCCCCTGCTGATTTTGTACGTTTGCCCACTGACAAAGAAATGATCAGTCTATAATTTTAATGGTAGGTTTATTTGAACAGTGAGAGACAGAATAACAACAAAAAAATCCAGAAAAACGCATGTCAAAAATGTTATACATTTATTTGCATTTTAATTAGGGAAATACAGTGGGGAAAAAAAGTATTTAGTCAGCCACCAATTGTGCAAGTTCTCCCACTTAAAAAGATGAGAGAGGCCTGTAATTTTCATCATAGGTACACGTCAACTATGACAGACAAATTGAGAAAAAAATATCCAAAAAATCACATTGTAGGATTTTTTATGAATTTATTTGCAAATTATGGTGGAAAATAAGTATTTGGTCACCTACAAACAAGCAAGATTTCTGGCTCTCACAGACCTGTAACTTCTTCTTTAAGAGGCTCCTCTGTCCTCCACTTGTTACCTGTATTAATGGCACCTGTTTGAACTTGTTATCAGTATAAAAGACACCTGTCCACATCCTCAAACAGTCACACTCCAAACTCCACTATGGCCAAGACCAAAGAGCTGTCAAAGGACACCAGAAACAAAATTGTAGACCTGCACCAGGCTGGGAAGACTGAGTCTGCAATAGGTAAGCAGCTTGGTTTTAAGAAATCAACTGTGGGAGCAATTATTAGGAAATGGAAGACATACAAGACCACTGATAATCTCCCTCGATCTGGGGCTCCACGCAAGATCTCACCCCGTGGGGTCAAAATGATCACAAGAAAGGTGAGCAAAAATCCCAGAACCACACGGGGGGACCTAGAGAATGACCTGCAGAGAG